CACAAAGCAGAGGTACAGTCAAACCACAGAGGAGAGGTACAGTCAAATCACAAAGGAGAGGTACAGTCAAACCATAGAGGAGAGGTACAGTCAAATCACAAAGCAGAGGTACAGTCAAACCACAGAGGAGAGGTACAGTCAAATCACAAAGGAGAGGTACAGTCAAACCATAGAGGAGAGGTACAGTCAAATCACAAAGGAGAGGTACAATCCATTCACAGTAAAGAAGACACTATGGGAGTAGTATGTCATAATATGTCTCCTTCCTTGAATCCTCACATTTTCAAGTTCCGTCTCTCTCTGCTTCTGCCTCAGAGTTTCTTTCTCAATTTCTCATGCAATGTGAGCAAGCGGAAGATCATCAATGAAATCGGCATTGATGGAGTTGGGATCTGTCAAGAAAGAGCACGCTGACCTCTCATCCTCTTACTAGCCTGGCTGAATTTCTTCTCACTGTAGCCCTTTGCATTTCTGTACACTGCACACATGCTAATTAAAAGAGGGCTTCCCTGTCAGCACTTTTATGTACATATTACTGCATGTAAAATGGTGTAGAATCATCTTGGCCTTATTCCCTGCATCTGGGCCTGTCCGGCTCCCACCCCTGGGCTGCCAGTACCCCACAAGGTCGCTCCAAGGACAGCCTCCAAGCATCTCTTCTCCCATTGGTCCCTGAGTCTTAAAGACACAGGGTGGTTTTTCTTTTTTTAAAGAGGGCAGACACATCTGAGTTGCACAGCACTGGACGTCACGTGGAACACAGCAGGCTCCACTGCTGCAGCACCGGGGAGCCAGATTAAGTGAGGACAAATATTCTTTGAATAAACTGACAGAGAAACTTGGAGTCAATGGATGGTCTGGTAACTTACATGCCATACCTGGATTGTAAATCAAAATATACCCTGTAAAAATGGAAAGGCCAGGGACAGGCAGGGTGAAAAGGAACCAAGTGGAAAGGAGAGAGAGAGAGAGAGAGAGAGAGAGAGAGAGAGAGACCTTGATGAGACAAAATGTTCCTGCATCTTAGTATGTGCCGCAACCCAAATGCGAGGACAATACAGACAACACTGTCAAACATTTCAGTGCCTGTCTGCATAACCCCTACGGTCTTTGTCCAGAACGACGATGTCATTAGGCTTGAGCTATAAGTTAACACTGCATCTTCTGGATCATGTGGCAAACTGATTTCATGATAATTAGTTTTATGACAATGTGTCAACTTTTACTCAGTAAATCAGGGGTGGGAGGGCACAGAAATGTATGCACACACACACACACACACACACACAGGTTTGTAATTATATCTTTGTGAGGACTCTCCATTCATTTCTATGGGGAAAACTCTAATCCCAACATGACAACCTTAATCCCTACCCAGCCCTAACCTTGACCATAAGTAACCAAACAAAATACTAGACATTTTTAGATTTGTAATCTAAAAATTCTTGATTCATTGACAAATCCTTGAATCATTCACAGGTCTTTGTGGGGACCTGAAAATGGTCCCCACAATGTCAATAAATCAAGTTTTATTGACATTGTGGTGGGCATTTTCCTCATTTTTATGGGGATAAACCCTAATCCAAACAAAGACAACCTTAAGCCCTACCCAATCAGTATTCATTTTGACAGCATATTCTGATTTTGTTTTAGTCTTAGTCCTTTGACGAAACTTAGTTTTAGTCATATTTTTGTCATCTCATTTTTGTTTTGTTTTAGTCTAGTTTTAGTCAACAAAAATGACAGGATATTTAGTCGACTAAATCTACAGCACATGCAGTCAAACGAAACTAACATGTTTAATCGTAGTCTACATATGTATGTACACATGCAGTAACACAGATTAGTCTACCTCATTGTCATTTTGTGTGAATTATGTTGGATTTTTAGGTAAAATCATACCTCAAGTTATATATTGTATTGACTACTCATATAATGCATTGACTACTCATATATATAATGTATTGACTACTCATATTTGTCAGCATTTGAAAAACAAGCATCCAAGATGATGAGCCTTGTGTTACCCAAAAACACAACTTAAATAATACAAAATGACAATCGCAAATCCACTTTTCGGAGCTTGGATTCATGTTGTTGCTGTGGATTGCAGCAATCAATTTGTCTCTTTTCTTTAGCTTTCAGCAGTCTGTAAAAAGATAGCTCCAATTTCTTGTTAAATCATTCTGTTCAATCAATCGCATAACAGCTCTTTCCTATTTTAGATGTGTTTTCGCAGCTTTCAAGCTGAACATTAATGCTGCCACAGTATTTTTGCCACTCGGTAGATGTAAACAGAGTATATTCCGCCTACTGTGACATCACGAGCATATACCCCGTTGACTAATCAGCCTGTGCAGGAAGGCCAACCCAAAGCCAGTTGATTGATAGCTTGTCCCTCTGGGTAAAATTAAAAACAAAATGGTGAAGCTAAAAGCAATATAGTAAAAGTAAAAGCAATAAGGTAAAATTCAAAGCAATACATCAAAATTCAAAGCAATATGCTAAAAGTAAAATCAATAGGGAAAAAGCAAAAGTAATAAAGAAAAGCATTAATTTTGTTATTCTTTTATTTTTATTTGTATTTATTTTGCATTCTTATTCAGTGTTTATTTTCTTATTCTTTTACAGATTTATTCTTTTTTATTGCACTTCTATGACTCCATAGTTATCCAATTACAAGCGTGCATACAAGTTTTTAAAACTGTACCACTATATTCATACTCTTTATTTGTTGGCAGACCGTATCATGTGTAATAAAGATCTGCAAAGAGCTTCTCATTGCTCATTTTCCAGTTGTCTGTTTGTAACATTTTCATTTTGCATATGTTTTGTCACCAATACTTTTTAAAGCATTTGTTTTAGTTTTTGTCTTGAAAGGCACTTTTTTTATTTAGTTTCTATTCCAATGTTGTTGGCGAGTATGTTTCATCTGCGTTTTTATCGACAAAATTAACACTGTACCCAGCCCTAACGTTTACCATGAGTAATCAAACAAAATACCAGTCTTTTGGCTATTTAAATTTTTCAATTGCTGCAGTTTTTTCATGAAATTTAGATTAACCTTATGTGGACCAAAAAAATGTCCCCACAAGGTAAAAAGTTACAGGCTTTTAACACATTCTTAGTTATTTGATTGCAGTCATAGATTTTTATAAAGCTGAGTTCCCCCCTGTGAGGACCAAAAAAATGCCCCCCGCAACATCAAAATAACAGATTTTTTATCATATTGTGGGGTCATTTGGTCCACACAATGTAATTTAAACATAATCCAAACACACACAAATACACACAGTGAATTATCAAGCTGTCCACCCCAACGGAACAACAGAGCTGGGAACACGCGAGGGGGGAGGAAAATAGGCTGTCTCGGCCAGCCGTGAGAAAAGCAGGGCCCCCTGACACATAGTGCCCCCTCCAGCCTCAGTCCAGCTCTAAGAGCGAAGTTATTGGCTGGGCTGAGGAGACAGGGAGGGGACGGTGAAAGCCGGAAGAGGGATCGGGGGTAAGCTTGAATGCCAGGCTGCAGCTTTTGATTATTTGTGGGGATGGGGGTGGGGGGTGGCAAGCAAGGTGACCTCGAACCAGGAACACAGTCAAGATGACCCTTTGACATCTGAGGTTACTGTGTGCCTCTTTCAAAATAAATCCTGTTTTACCAATGATACAGCTGAAGCCAGATGGGTTAAGCAAAATATTCAAAGGTATAACATAAGTCCCTCACCTGAGACTCCATAATCATTATGTCAACACGCTTTTCTTGCCGAGAAAACATGAATATATGACAAAACCAGATGTGTACGAAAGCATTTACAGAATTCATTAAATAAACAAGAGAGTAACAGGAACTCCCCTCTCGGTTTCCAGCTCCATTTTCCTGATTATATTTGTGGATTTTAATCTTATTTCTTATTGTTTCTCCTATCTAATGGATGTTTCTGTTACATATACTGGGACTGCGCTCATTTCTTAATTTTGTTATTAGTTCCTCTTACAAATACACTTGATTTTAGTAAATTGTACTGTGGGATTCAATAAGTGTGATTATGGATATCAATCGAAATATGACCCGGAAATGGCGGCGCTCTAAAAGCATTTACACGCTTAAATAATTATGGAGCATTTTGCTGAAATGTGAAAATCATGGTTCCTGAAAAATGTTACTTAATGGAGGGACATAAAACAGAGGTAACAGAGTAAGGACAGACAAGCAAGGGGGTCACAGGAGCTATTTTAAACATGAACGACCCCCCCAGCAGGGTGTAGCCCAGGGTGCATGTGGAAACAGCCGGAGTGAACTTGTGCCCCTTCCTAAACAAACTGCAGCGTAGAGGAGTGCCGTGTGTGGAGGATGGGGGGGGGGGTTCTGTTGGTGCAGTGGTGCTGAAAGGACAGCTCCAGGAAGGGGGGGGGGGAGTAAGGTGGGAAGAGAGACAAGCCGACTTGCAGTGAGACAAATTGAAAGCCTCCCCCGACTTTTGCAATGTCAGTCGTATATCAGGTTACATTTATTTATGTAACAAAAGGCTAACAGCCAGTGTTTCACTACAGTCCCGCATGCACATGAATATCAGCAGGGGGCAGCGAGCAGCTAACGGCTATTAGCATTAGCAGGGATACCCGTATGTTCACCCATCGCTTACTGGAGTTGCTGCAGGAGAAAAGTCTGTTTTGTCTCGCTTGTATGTATAAGCTGTACATACAATGGGCAGGGGGAGGGGCTTGCGGCTAGCAGCGAGCAGAGGACACAAAGCCACATGGTCAGGGAGGAGGGTGGTGAGTTAAGAAGAGGAGAGAAAATGAATTATTATGAAACTGATATAACTGAAATAATTGAAGTATTATGTAAATATTATTACATACTGGGAGACTGAATATCAGTTGTGAAAGGTAGCGACGTCGAGTCCACAAACAGCCAATTGCAGGAGGCCGCTTCTTCTAGAGTCAGTCGGTTTCACCTTCAGATGAAACTGCCCCCACTTAATGAAAATGAGATGAGGATTAGTCCCCCTGAATATACTATTGGGGCTTACTGTACGTAACCCCAGCTCACTATGCTGGCATCGGGAAAGGGATGCCAGGAAACATTTGGATACACACACTCGCTGACAAAGAGATATCGGCACTTTCGTGGCGACCCTCTGACAGCTGGAAATTAGCTAAACAAATCTGCTCGGCAGGCCATACTCTGCCTATGGCTCACTGAAGTTTCCTCTCTCTTTTGATTGTAAAAATGAAGCAGATTGCTAGGTCATGCTGTCAGGAGGATGCAGACGAGCACAAGGAGAAGAGGTGAATGATGTTGAGACACTGAAAGATTTTAAAAGGTAAATTATTGCGGTACAAAGCCTGCAGCTCTTAAGTGTCTTCAGAGTATCGCAGGTGCCAGTTTACGTTTATTGTATTGACGTAAATACACAGTAATATTAATGATTCTGGGCTGAAAAAGACACTGAACCCAACAGATTAATGTCCACTCATCGTTCAAGCACTTTTATCATTTTCCTGAACATTTTTCATCTCGTAATTGCTGATAGCTCACACTGGCCAAAAGAAACTTACCCTGTGTTAATTTTTTGCTGGTAATAGGCATAAGGAGTCCAAAAAACTAGCAAAGCTGGGCAATGCTACTGCAGTGTTTCACATATAACTTTTAAATCAGATCTGTTCTCTAAATACACATCCTTGACTCCTTCTTACAGGGATCTGTCCTTCTCTTCCCTATCCTTCCTCTATACCTCCACTGTGGGCTCCCTGCTCCCATTGTCTGCCCCACATATATTTCTGCTTTCTCCCCTCTCACCACTCCTCTTCCTCCCAGTCCACTGTTTACCACCTCCCCCACTCATCTCCCCACCTTTCCTATCCAGGTATTGGATATGCCCCCCCCCCCCGCTGTTTCAACCTCACCTGTTGTTTTCATGATTCCCCTTGCCCCCCCCCCACCTCCTCCATGAGTCCTACAGAGATTATGTCATACCAGATTACAGAGGATCACCTTCACACGATAGCAGGTGCAGAGTTTCTAATGCAAAACATTTTCCACATTTCTGGTACAATTCATAGTACACATAACACATACGAAAAGGGTCACTTTCACTGTATTTTTCTAGCTTGTCGTCTATAAACTATGATGTTTATGCAAATTATACTCCGTCAGGGGGTCTTTACACAAATATTGACAAAATATTGACATGATGCATCAGTTTAACACACAAACATAAATATATATATTTAGATCCAAGTTATAATTTGACTTTTCTTACAAAGAACTGAAATGAGGGAACATTTGTGCTGCCAGAGAATGACACAGAATACTTAAATATCTCCACTTAGAGCAGTAGCTTAAAATCTTGCTAAGTTCAAATGCCATGCTCTCTCCCCCTCCACCTATTCTCCCACATGCATCCCACTTTTCCACTTCCATCCGCTATCGGTACTTCTCTCTAATCATTCCCCACGTTTCACAGAGTCAGCAGGATAATTTGAAGGCAAGGTCACCTGACTGCTGTTTCCATAGAGACCAGGAATTGGGATTTTTTTTCCCCTCTCCTCTCTGTACTGCAGGACACAACACCAGGAAGGGATGGCAGAGGTTAAAGAAGGATACCGAGTAATGTCAGCCATTTTGTTCAGAGGCAAAAAACTTTATTGACAGCATATTCTCATAGTCAACATATACAACACATCTTTAATTAAATCTAATGGATACTTTATTTTAAAACAGCATTTCATACACAGCTCAAAACAGAACTACATAAATTATCATTTAGAAATTACAATTATTAATTATTTTGTGATAATAACAACAAGGGATGCCTAAGTCTATCAGTAACATTGTATATGCAGTAACACTGCAAACGTTTTATTCAATTTGAATTCTAAACATTTTATTTTGTCTATTGATGACTAGTGTCTGTGAAGAAAATATGTAAGTTGAAACACATATTATGTATCATGAGCAGAAGTGTATTATGTTTTAGTTTAAATCTACAAAATCCTGTCAGTCAGACTATGTGGAGCGAGAAATAGACCAGGTGCTTAAAATAAAGGTGAGATTAACATAAATATTGTATATCAGTTGAACCCTGTCCTCATAGGTAGCGCATATTGTTTCAATCCAGGAGGCTCACCAGTCAGAAAGAGCTTGTTGCCTAATGTGACTTTCATAATCATCTAGTCAAAGAAAAAATTCTAAATCTTGTCCTCCCCCATCTAGGTAAGAACAGCCCCAGGCTTCGTCTCGGGTCTCCCTAGGCGCCTGCCTCTCTCCTGCTTCCATTCTAACTGCATACCCTCTGGGAGACCCAGCAAGCCTCAGATACTGTTCTGTGAAGCTGCGATACTCTGGCCACAACCTAAGAGGCTCTTCAAGCCCTAGTACAAACGTCAGCACGCGGGGCAAGCTAAGAAGGAGCCATGACTCGGGGTTTTTCCATCTTGGGGCTGAAATGCACAAAGGCAGCGGCCACACATGGAGGACACGGAACAGGCCCTCTGCTTCAGCACCTCCAGGATTCAGTCAGGTCTGCAGGGGTACCTGAGGGGAGTGTGGAGACGGGGCAGCTGTGACCCAGTCGGATGTCGGCTCCTGGGAGCAACTCAGCTGCCCTGATCTCAGATTTCAGAAGCTCATAAAGGCTCTTTTTTGGCACAGACTTCATTTTATTTGTACAAGCTACACCAAAATCCAGACAAGCAATACATAATACACAATGCATAATGATGAACAGTAAGGCTAATAGTATTAATAACACTTGAGTCTCTCTAACTCCCGCTTCTCACTGCTCCTGCCCACCCCCCTTAATTTCTCTATATATCATTTCCCCCAGAGCTTTCTAAATTTGACTTGCTCTCTTTCTCTCACACACATACTTGCACCAAGAGCAAACCACACTTCTTGCAAACTCCTGCATCTGACCTCCACACCTAACGAGCTCTGAAATCGGATAAAAATGTGAAGACGTCATATCCTAACAGATATTTTAACAGTTCACTATATTTAAACTTTCACATATGTAATAAGAACGACCACGCTGCATTGTAATCCTAAAACCAATTTACATCTACCGATTCTTTTTTTTTTTTTTTTTAAAGAAGAACTCGAAATAAAAACTATGTATGGGGGGGGAAATCATGATTATTATATGCCCGTTCAAAGTTTGCGGCTGAAGTTCGTATCTCTACTGTCTGCACGACCCGGAATTCTGCAGTAAAGAAGGCGGAGCACGTGTTACACTTGATTGGCTTGTGTCAGAGATTATTCTGACGCGATTGGCCAGCTGACCAGTCTTAAACGCAGTGGCCATCCTTCTTATTGGCAAAGGGAGTGGTCTGTGGGAGGATCCTACTGGCAGCCGGTTTATGAGCTTCGCAGGCTCGGGGTGGGAGATCACTTACATCCACCGGCGCTTCTTCCACATGCGGAGTGGTGCGGAGAGAGGAGGGGAGTACTGCGGCAGCTGGTGTCGTAGCGGAGGGAGACAAAATACTGAGAACCTGGGCTGTGCGGTTCCGTAGTTTTGCCGGCTTCACTGCGAGTATCACAGATCAGCAAAAGAAGTCTGCATCCTCGCTGGATGTATTGCCTATGATTATAAGAGTAATAAACCTTTTGTTTTAGATATTGTATAAGGTTCTGGATATTAGAATTAAAGACATTGTTTTAAAATATTAATTTACAGACAATCTAATAGCCTAGATTTATCGCATAATTTATTTTCATGTAGCAGAACTAACGTTAAATTTCCTAAAATCTTTGCTACCTATTTGTAATTTCATAGAGAATAATAAGCAAAAGTAGTAATACCGTTTTGTTTTTGTTTGCTTCCCAAACTTTTTTAAATCGGCAAATTCCGAAACAGTTTAACCTCCAGCGACTGACATCTCTCGAGCGCTTCATCATCTAAAAGGAACCGGCAGACTACGGCAGCATGGGGGTAAGACCGCAGTTTCTGCCAATGCCCTGCTAAAAAAAAAAGCTCAGTTAAACTTATAGCTGAGAACAGAGAATATGCGGCGGGCGTCAAACTGCAGTGTCATGTATTTTTTACTGTGCAAATCCCGAGCGTCGCAGTGACATTGACTCTAATGCGGATTTTGTTTTACCTTAGTCTTACAGTCTGCGACAAAAGCGATGCCATTTATGTTGCAGTTTATGATGTTTTATTCAATAGGATTTTCATGCAGTTCTTTGATGTATATTTAAAGAAGATGATTAGAACATAATTCATTTCTATTAAAACCACTCATTCGAAGATCGTTTTAGGGGTTAGTTGATAGAATTTCAACTCTCAGATTTTATAATCCTGTAACTGCAATGGAAGATACTTGGGCAGAAATAAAGTATTCGTGCATGCTTTTAAAATGCGGTTATTGGTGTTTTCTGCAAGTCTGCACAATGCGCCGTGTCGGCACAAAATGTAATGAGCGTGAGTGCCGGTAACCTGTTGTATGCTGTCCCCTTCCCCAATTCCCCTGTAGACAGCGACCCCTCATTTCCCTTCCCTACCTTGCTTTATAATTGCACATCATGCGGTTCCGACACTGGAAAATTACTTGTAGCAGAAGATGCAGCTGTGGCCTGATGTACAAACATTTCTAAGGTGACGGCAGCGCGCCGTATCACAGTGACCGATGCGTCATAATGCGGTTACGGGGATGATGCGACCTACCAATTTATTACCCTCACTTCCTTTCCACAGAATCGGCCTTGCTCATCGCCTGCAGTCTGATTAATTCGTGTTGTTCAAAATGTCTTTATGAGGAACATATACATCACGTATGATATTCAATATGAGGGAGATATATATACGGAGATTTTTTACAGAAGAAGGTATGCACAAAAGAAATGTATCTCAATGCATCAAACAGAAAGTGTCCAGTAACATGTCGGTATTTTTTCAGTAATTAAAGTTTTAGTATAGCATGTTAGTACATACATGGTCAATATTTAAGAAAGATTTTTTTAGTTATTAAAAAATAGTTTGCACCAAATAATAAAAAAAGTTTGCACCAAAGGTCTGCATTAGCTGCAATCCATGTGATGCTTTTTTATTAATATATCTTTTGTTTTACGTAGTTTAATCAGGATTTTTTTAAATAGCTGTACAATTTGGTGCATCTTAATCGAGATGTATGAGAGACTGTGGACTGTCAGCAGAGGAGGAGTGACGTTTGCCTCTGTAGCGGAATTTCAGAGTTGTTCTGATCGTCCCGAGGACACACTGAACTGTAAAACAGAGAGCGAAGCGATCGATTGGGAATGAGAACGGGCTGGCTGTCCTCCGCCATCGTTACGGACTGCGTCAAAATGAACGTTTGGTTCCCCCGATGTCTTTGGTCGAAGGGCAACATTCCGGGAAGACGGGGTCTCAGGTGTCATGAGATTGCGCCGGTTCCCGAAGCGGTGCTCGATTGTTATACCGGCTTTCAGGCAGATGACCGAGGGGGGATCGCACACGACTAGGTTACTGCGTCAATTAAGGGGCGGGGCTTGAGGAGTGGAAATTCCCGAGCAGTTTGTGATAGGGCCATGCTGAGAGGGAGCATCACGAAGAGCTTCCCAGCGAGGGATGCCAGCTGGGATGAAAAGTGCGGGAAATAAGAACCGCTGAGTCTAATATTGCAAAAAAAAAGCGTAATATCGGCAAAATATATCCCCCCACCACTTTATAAATGATGTACTGAGGATATAGAACACGTGATAGATTGATGTGGCAGCACTGTAGCAGTGCAGGAGAGGAGAGAGGAGCAGCTGGCCAGGAGCACAGTTTGTTCTCTTCAGGTTCACCTTCAGATGGAGAGGGAGAGAGTGGATGCGGGGGTGGTGGTGGTGGTGGTGGGGGTGGGGGGGTTACAGGCTGATCTGCAGGTGAGCTGTGAAATGGATCATAAGCAGGTGCAGGGTGGGGGGGCAGGGAAGCCAGGAGGATTCTGTTACGGGATAATTAGTCGTGCTCACATTTCTACGTCTTTCGTCACAGGCTGCTTCACTGGGCAGCAGTGGGATTAGGAGCTTGGCAACGGGCCTCAGACCTCGCATGACACCGTTACATTCACCACAGCGGTACAGTCAGCCGCAGCGTGAGCCGGCAAAATCGGCCGCGTGAATCACACGCTTCGGAAAACACCCCCTCCCCTTCCTCCGGCCCGTTAAATAGGAGCTAAGATGTTGCTTGGCGTGTCTGGGATGCAGCAAGGAGTGTTTTTGGATGTTCGGACGTCTGCTGCATCGGGGTAGACCGCTCTGCAGCTGGGGGGGGGGGGGGAGGGTTGCTTCTCAAGGTCAGAGCAGAGAAGGTTCATCAATGGCGGACAGGAAGCTGGTCAAAGTCACTGGAGGGGAGAGAGAGCCGGGGCTGTGTGGAGAGGTGCCCTTCAGCCCGGCATTTGCATGGCCCGTCTTTGGGTGTCACTATGGAGACGGGCAGATGTTTCACTTTATTAAAGATGAGGTACCGGTCACTGCAGTTTACAAGGGGAGTGCGGCATGGATGAAACGGTAATGAAACAGCACCCCCGCTTTTAAAACGAGTACATAAGACAGACTGGGGAACTTTTTTCCTAATGAAAAAGACTAAATATAAAAGGCATGCGTACATTTCTGACTGTGGACCACCGGAAAGGAAGATCATAGAAAACTACGCACCCACACACACACACACACTGAGGCTGTTTTATGTTGGCCCAAAGCCTGATTAACAGACACCGTTTACCATTTTCCCCAAAATTCTTACCCAGATTGTCCCCACCAAAGCTGAGCTCAAAGCTCAGGCAAACTGGACTGTGTTACCCAGCTCAGGAAGCACAGGCAGGACTGTGTCAGAACACTGCGCAAAGTCCAGGTAGGAAACAAAGCAGAGCCACAGACAGCCACAGCCGCTGGGGTCAAGGGATTAGAGGAGAGAAAGGACAGATGGAGGGGTAATGCTATAAGGCAGCATTTTATTCACGGAAAGGATGGCAGATTCAGCTGACTTTGTCATCCTGCTTCTCTGCCTGTAGCGCAGGTGGATTTTAGGCATGACGCTTCCACCATGCTGATGCAATGCGAATTCACTTAGGACAAAAATGCATCTGCTTAGCGCTGCAGCGCCATCGTGGCTCAATGCCAGAACCCTTAAGAGAGTCACACACTATGCGTGGTGTATAAAAATCAGTTCGGCATTGATGGGTACTGTCTGTCTTTGCAGATTGTGCTATAATTTGTGTGTGTGTGACCCGCACACACACACACACACACACACACACACATACACACACACACATACACAGTGGGATAATCGGGTTACACCATAATCTGGCAGTGCTAATTCCCTTGGTTCATCGCGTTTCTGTTTGCCCCTCCCCATTTGCAGTGCTCCACCCTATGACCTCCCAACCCCCCCACCACCACCCAAGCAGATGGTCCTGGGAGACACTCAAGCGAGTAAATTTGCATGTAAGCCCTCTGTCCAATCAAAATTCCCCAGCAATGCCACAGCACAGTAACATCCAGGCAGTGTGGCAAGGCGGGACTGGGCCACCACACCCGAAAGTGCTGGGGCAAAGCGACGTGCGCCCTATTCATTAGCGAGAAAGGGGCTGAGTGAAACACAGTGCCTGTCACCTCTAATGAGCGCACAGTAATGAAAGAACGCAAGGAGCCGTACAAATTACATGAGGTCATTCAGGCCATCTCGTCTGATTGGATATCCAGTTACCATGAGTTGGTATCATTTTATCTCGGGCCCCCTGGTGTTCATCTAAAAACACTGATTTTAAAAGGACTTTTCTACCATCATTTATACCACACCCTAACTGGTTCCCATTGTTTCAATCAATATTAAAATAAGACGTCAAAGCCCTTAATGACACTTCATTTGCTCATTTGCTTGATCTGCACAATTTTCTATGCATTATGTTAACAAATTGTCTGTCCATGTTTTTTTGAATTATAAGACAGAAAATTCATTTTCAGTATTAATAATTAACCCAAGCATAACACGCACATTGTTCCTGACTGTAGTGTGTGCGTATGAAGCAGCTGCTGGGGTTTAGTGTAATGTGCTGGTGAGATTTAATACAGGTCATATCCTTTGATGGTTCCTTACAGCCCTAAAAAAATTAATCAGCGATACTTATCAGAAGTGATAACCTGCGAAGTGATACATTGTAGTCTCCTAATCACGTTTTCACATGTCCCTTATAAAGAGAAGGATTTGAATGGATGCACACTCTACTCCATCTTTGTTCCCACACCATTACAAGAGCACCCCCTGCCAGTCAGAGAGGTAAATCGCAGTCACGTACATGCCACCCTCCAAGCTTTTGTCCAAGCACAGGGTCTTATTTTCAGCCTGCCTGCCCTCCAGGAGAAGATCTCTCAATGCCCCCCTCCCCACTCTGCTACTCTCTCAGTACCTACTTTGGCACCACTGCAGCCATCTTAGTTAATGGCATGGGCCTCGCTGCTATCAGGCGTGTTTACAGCTTCAGTCCATCAAAGGCACGCACTCACTCTTTGGGTTCAGCATTCAGTTACTGCCGCATCAATTATTTGCGACTGAATGCTGAGAGCTGAATAAAGGGTGCCGTCTGAACGGCGCCTGTAAGCTAAAGGACAATGAGGAAGCATTTCCTGTTGCGCAAGGCTTTACCAAGAAGCCCCTTCCCCACCCCAACCCACCGCCCCAACGCAGACCTTCCCCTGACGCGCCATGTAGACCCCTTGTCTTCAACTGCTCGAACCCGCCTGTCTGCTATGCCCCTGAAGCTGCTGGCCAGTGCCTTGCTGGGTAGCCTATTCCTGGAGAATGATGCCTGGTGAGGAACCCAGCTTCCCAGCAGTGTCGTAAGGGCCCCTAGATATGGCACCTTAGGGAGACATTTCGCCATCTTCCCTGGTCAGGTATCTCCGGCGTCTGTAATTTCAGCCTGGCGTCCCAGTTCCTCCGTAGCATCGACAGTGCAGTGCCATGACCTTCTCGAAACAGCACGCAGATGCACGCAGCTATAGGGCACTGCTGAGAAATACATGCAAATAGCGACGCACAGTCAGAAAATAACACACTCTATATTCAGTCCTGATCTGATTATCCTCCGCTGTTTGGATGATCACAGCACACTAATGAATTCTTTTGCTTCATGGCAACCTGGTCAGTCCTTGAGTTGGATAGTCCTGAGCAGAGGGTGCCCTCTCTCACACCCCCCCTCCCACCCACAGACACACTCTTTCTGATGTACCACCATCTGTCTGATGTACAACCATTCCCGATTAATGTAGCTCCTTTGAGATGCTCTAGAGTTGTGTAAGCTCTGACACAGATGTCGCCACCTACTGGAGGACAGCATTCTCGACACTGTTGACATGGTACCAAGTCTAGACTGTATTTGCAGACCTATAGCACACTGGTGTTGTGAGTCATTGATTGGCATTAGATAAGGTTTACATCAGAGCTTAAGGAGTTTGTGACAAGATTCCTGTAGACACTGTGGGTGATCCCAGGGAATACAAAAGAACATGTTCAACTAGGCTTCTCTCGAGTGAGGCTGAAATTACCCTGGAAAGGTGAACCTGTCGATGGGAACATGACGTGCTAAATGAGCCAGCGTGGGAGCTTAAGGTTACTTTGTGAAGTACCTTGTGTTCTGAGATTAAGCCAGATGGACTGATGTCATGGGACATACGGCAGCAGTGAAAGACCTGCAGGGGCAGGAGCAGGAGAGCACACACAAGCAGGTCGCAGGTCAGCATGGCCACGTATCATCTGATAAGGTGGCCTGTCACAGTACACTCGAGTGACTGTCCCCTGCTGCCTCATCATTTATTGAGGTGCAGCCGGCCCATATGAGGGGCCTCTGCCTGTGTGTGGTGAAAGCGGGCTGTCAGACTTCCCCTTCACTTCTGTGCTTTAGGTCACATTTGAAGAGGTCCACAGCTCTATGCTGTATGGACCACACTGGGAGAGGTCCATGGACCCATGTGGTTTAGACCAGGCTAAGGGAGATCTATAGCCAAGACAATTAAACTGCATTACATATGGTCCATAGCTTCATGCAGTGTAGACCATCCATGCAGTGTGGACCATCCATGCAGTGTAGGTCCATTTTCCCTAATTGTTTGGGTTTCTGTGCAGTAGGTCAACAGCTTTACTGGTTTTGGTCAAAGTGGATCCACCGGAAATCCCTTCAGAGGAAGACTCGATTCAGGGTTGCCAGGAACATTATGGGATGGGCCTTGTGGATGGAGTTAGGTATGAGCAGGCCCTGAATTAAATTCCTGTTAATCAGGCATCCCTGACTGACAAACAAACGAGCAGTCGATGTCTAATTATCAGAGAGTGATCCCGTCGATGGCTGACCTCTCTCAGCTCCTGCCAGGCATCTCTTGTTCCATGGGCTGCTGCTTTTTTGCTTCTCTTCTCTATCCTTTCACCACATCCTTTGTCTTTTAATGACTTTATCAAATGTCCCAGTCCTCTCTCCTTCGCCCCTCCCCTTGGGTGAGGGCACAGTGGTGTATCACCACCTGCTCTCTGGCAGAGCTTATCCTGTCAAGCTTCTCACTCATGACATTTTTTAAAATTGACTCCCAAAGGTTTTGCTCCCTACCACAAGCCAAACACGGCTGAACAGAGTGTGTGTGTACAGTTGAGAAGCTGTACCCTGTAGAATAAACTATAACGCTCATTAAAACAAACTGTAATTGGATATAAGTCATTGTCAATGGATTTATAGGTATATAATATTATTCCCGTACCCTAGTTCTGATTACGGAGAAGCCATTAATGACTGAAGTATTTATAGAGCAATTTCAGGCAGTCCCCCGGTTTCAAACGAGATCCGTTCCCTAAGTCTGTCTTTGAGTCAAATTTGTAGGTATGTCGAAAAATACTAATACAGTACATAATAATAATAATAATAATAATAATAAGTAACTACACATGGTATCTCAAGCTGACACACTCCTGTGTCATGAGTGTGACAAAGTAGTGCATGCATTTGTTATTATGACCCATTGTATTCAACCCGAATTCTTAGTATAATAGGCTTTATGGCAGTCTCTTCATACGTTGTCTGTTAGCTGAACATTCTTAGTTAAGGAGCTGCCTATAAATATATCATTGAGGATTTGCTTTTGTGTTGGGAATTAAGCAGGTACGCTGTTACCGCCAGCTGTGCCTTTGACCACGGATGGTTCTCTGTTTGCGGTCCTCAAGTTGGTTTTGCCTGTCTGGTTGCCATGGTGCTTTTCCATGAGGACAAGACCAGCCAGCTGAGTGTGACCGCGACCAACCCGCCACATACTGATAAAGCTGCAAAAGTCTGACTCACTCTCTTACCTTGTCTTGAGTGTGCAGCTTAATATAGTTTTGTGTGATGCATGTTTTTGGTTGGGCTCAGGAAAGAGGGTCATGTGAGGTATTAGATGGGACCAGCCAAGCAGGTGGCGATGAACGAGGCACCGGCTTGAGTTTCACTTGTGACAGCAGCTGCACACCTGCGCTCGCTTTCACAAAGCCTACCCACCATCTGCTTCCTGGCACGATGATGTCACCAGGCTGGTGTTTTGACTCGCGTTTTTTCTGTCAGCACCCGCCTACCTGCCTGGCAGGTTTCAGAGTCCTGACTGAAAGTGTTTTGAAATCCCGTCCTCACTACACATTTCTAGGAGGTGTTTGTGCCTGTGCCAGAGAGGTTTAGGCACATACTCAACCAACACTCGAGTCCTGGGCCTCTCTGTAGCATCTGGCAGAAAAGTTAACCTCAGTTCCCAGCATCCAAAGGGCCAGGCCCCAAATGGCCTCTCTCCCTGTCTGCCAGGAAATGGGCAGGAGCTTGTGGCATGACCCGCCTCACTCTCAGCACCTGGCCTTTGCTGCTCAGATAAGCCTGGATAATCCTGGGAGGAAAGCATTTAGTCCCCCACAGAGCCCCCGGTGATGTCGCTCTGTATCTGAGATCTCACACGCCCATCTGAACAGGAGCCATGTGCCCAGGTAGTGTGACCTCAGCATCCACCTGCCGTGTGGGGCTTCTTAAAGGAGATGCTTCATCTAAGACCTTCGTCAGCCTCCGTGTCGATTCGGATGGTGACGTCTGAAATCCACCAATGTTGTGTTCTGGTCTCCACTCTTGGGTTGCTTTCGAGAGATGGCCGTGGCAGCGAGGTTTGGCCAGGTGGGGATTCAGGGGAGTGATCTCGGCCATCGGTGAAGCGAAGAGTGGCAGGGGACTTAGGAGGGACTCAGGCGTTTGCTCACACTATTCTGCGAAGTCTGTGAGGTAAACTTCAGTATTATGGGCCCAATGTGAGTGAGCCCAGAATCATACAAAAGCAAAATCTGGGCCCCAGAAAGGCAGGGCAGTGTGGGCCCTTTGTGTCAGAAGCCTAAAGGAAGAGGCAGGAACATCCACCCCTGTCTGGACTGCCTGGGGTTGGCTGGATTACTGTGGGTAGAACAATGGAGGTAGGATAAGGATATTGATTGACGGTCACTGTTTATGAGACACACCCCTACTGCTGCTCCCTCGCAGCTTAAATGCAGGGTGTTGCATCTGCTACCTCGCATTTTGGGTGGTACATTGTTACATGCTAGTACATGCTTTGGTTTTCTTCTTCTTTCTTCTGACATTTTGCTACCTGGGACGTTTCCGGAAAGGAAGCCGCAATCTCGGTGGCCAAAGGGGGACCGACCAGAAGGAAATCTGCCAGTTCAACAAACGCCACAGCACCCGAGGACATGGCTGATTCTGTCTCTCTCCTCCCTCCCCCCTCGCAGTACGGGCGGTCAGACAGCTACCGTGTGGCCACCACGCAGGACAAAGATGACAAAGACTCCCCTAAGAAGAAGAAGGGAAAGGATCTCGATGACCTGAAGAAGGAAGTTCCGTTGGTGAGCGCCTCCCCCCCCCGCCCCCGTCTCATCTCAGCGGGACAGCCCTGACCCGGGGGCATGTACATGCACATGCACATGCTCGTATACAAATGCTTGGGCTTATCAGAACACCGTGTTGCTTTTCTGTGTCAAATCTGCTTTCTCTACTGTGTGGGGCAAGATGCAGACATCCATTCTGGGTTGTAAAGGGTGCATTGCATAGCCAAGCATTTGCTATTCACTGTGTGTTTCATGCAGACATGTCAGTAAGCTCTACATCACTATACCGCACTATACATCACTGACTCATTGAGTAATTTGTTCCATATATGCTTAGCTAAAGGAGTTCAGGGCAACGTCTGAAATTTAGCGATACAGGAACAGGGGCCATAAAATAGACACCTCCTCAGACTGATGTGAAACTTCCTGCTTTCCACCCAGACGGAACACAAGATGTCTGTGGAAGAAGTCTGCCGCAAGTTTAACACCGACATCGTCCAGGTGAGTCTGACTCGCACTGCTGTTTGCTAGCCAGCAGGGGGACATTTCTCAACCCGGTCATTGGGGACGGTCCATGTTTTTGCTCTCTCCCAGCTCCCATCCACATTTTTGCTCCCTTCCGCGAGCTGGGAGGGAGCAAAAAAACATTGACTGACTGTGGTTTCCCAAGGATCGCTGTGAGAAATACAGGCATAGATCAGAGGCAAATATGCTGCTTTTGAAGAGATTCTTTCTCCCTTGCAGTCTGGCAGCGGTTTCCATGGCGTTGTTGATTGTGTTTGTCTCCCTTTGCTCACCTCAGGGCCTGACCAATGCCAAGGCAGCAGAATACCTGATTCGCGATGGGCCCAACGCTCTTACCCCACCCCCCACCACCCCCGAATGGGTCAAGTTCTGTCGCCAGCTGTTTGGGGGCTTTTCCATCCTGCTGTGGCTCGGCGCCATCCTCTGCTTCCTGGCCTATGCCATCCAGGCAGCCACAGAGGACGAGCCAGCTGGAGACAACGTGAGTGCCTCAGCCCCCCAACACCTGCAGTGACCCCTGCTGGGTCGACAGGCCATCTGCAGCTAGCCCATCTGTCAGTGAAGCCTGGGCACATTTTATACCTGCTGTGTGTGGTGTTGATTGGATCCACCAGCACAGTCATGTGTTATCCAGGCATAGTTCATTACATTACATCATTACAGCTCCTGGCAAGAGAAGATGTCAAAATTAATGAATGTAACATACTATTACTATAATAATAAACAACTATAATGAAAATGAATATAGTAGCATGGGTAAATGTTTTGGTATATGGTACTAATACATAAATAATTATTTTTTTTTAGTTAATATCAAAATGCTAAGCTCAGATTTTTTTTTTCACTTTTATTGTTATTTAATACATATTTTCATGTAAGCTCACGTGAATTGAAAATATCTCCAGGATGTTTTGAGAAAGTAGTTTATTCCTATGAACTGGAAGGCACAGGTAGATCTTTCTGTCTGCCTCTCCGGCCCGCAGTTGTATCTGGGAATCGTGCTGTCTGCTGTCGTCATCATCACCGGCTGCTTCTCCTACTTTCAAGAGGCCAAGAGCTCTAAAATCATGGAATCCTTCAAGAGCATGGTGCCCCAGGTATGGGGGGCTCTGCTCCAAAGCACTACCTCGCATCTTACTCCCCATCCCTGCCCGTGTGGGAGCGTCTGCGTCTGTGTGTCTGTGTTTTTGTAATTATTACATTGTAGGGATCAGATTTCCCCAAAATGTGATAAAAAAACCTGTAGGTGGACACTGTGACAAAGAGAAAACCTAAGATGCTGTTTCCAGGCACTCCTATTGGCCTGGGATGAATATTGATATTCAGAACTGGGTAAGTTTGTGTGTTTGTCTATCCAGTGCTCACAGAAAGTCTCGGGAACGCTTTCTTTATTCAGTAAAAATACCACAAATGTATTGGATTTGTAACAAAAATAATTACTGTATTCATTTCTTAACAAAATATATATTTTACATAAGATAAACCCAGTAGTTTTAAGTAAAACATTCCTTTCAAGTAGTAATAAATTGCAACCCAAATTACAGTTCTAAATGAGTTAAAAATTTCTTTGACAAGCAGTCTCATTGGATGCTTTTTAATGAGTAACTGCAATAACATAGAACACCAAACATTTGTGTTTTGTATCACTTTGGGAGCCAATGACTACAAGTACAATTAATAGCAAAATGGCAAGAAGAGAGCTGAATGCGTCAGTCAAAAAAATTATGACATTTTTTAAAGAAAATATCTGTGTGGAACATTTGTGCAGATTGAAAGTAATTCATTGTGTAAAAGTAATTATTTTTCATTGTTGACACACCACAGTACAACAATGTGTCAATGCATTTAACCCATATGTGACATAACAGTGGGTAGCTATTATTTAGCACCTGGGGAGAAGTGCTTGGGGGCAGTACCTGGCTTAGGATATCTCAGTGGTACCATGCTGATCAGGGATTCAAATCTGCAGGTTTCCACTCACAAGCACACTTACCCAACTGTTAGGCCAGCACTGCCCAATGTCTCCACAATGTGATAAAAACCTGTTATTTTTACCTTGTGGGACATTTTTTGTCCCCAAAAGGACAACCTCAATTTCATAAAAAAAAAACTGAAAAACTGAAATAACCAAAAGTCTTGTATTTTGTTTGGTTCTTTATGGTTAAGGTTAGGGCCGGGTATGGGTAAAGGTTGTTGTTGTTGGGTTTAGGGTTTTTCCCATAGAATTTAATGGACGATCCCCACAATATATGAATACAAATGTGTGTATGTGCATCTGTGTGTGTGTGTGTGTGTGTGTCTGTGTGTCTGCCTGTGTCTCTGTGTGTCTGTGTGTCTCTGCGCATATGTCTGTGTGTGTGTTTGTCTGTCGGTCTGTGTCTGTGTGTCTGTATGTGTGTCTGTGTGTGTCTGTGTGAACGTCTGTGTGTGTGTCTATGTTTGTGTGAACGCCTGTGTATATGTCTGTGTGTCTGTGTGTGACCGCTGTGGTCTCACTCTCCACCCAGCAAGCCCTGGTGATCCGGGAGGGCGAGAAGATGCAGATCAATGCAGAGGAGGTGGTGGCTGGAGACCTGGTGGAGGTGAAAGGTGGGGACAGGATCCCCGCTGACCTGCGCATTACTTCGTCTCATGGCTGCAAGGTACCTGCACTGCCTGGACCACTATCACTCACACATACCGCTTGTGCACTAATAGACCCTCATTCTCCCCTTAATGGTTCCTGATTCATCCCAGACTAATACAGCCATGCTCTAAGACACTCTGTACTCACCACTACATGTTTGTGTGTTATTTTCTTAACAGGTGGACAACTCCTCTCTGACTGGCGAATCAGAACCCCAGACTCGGTCACCTGACTGCACGCATGACAACCCCCTGGAGACCCGTAATATCGCTTTTTTCTCCACCAACTGTGTGGAAGGTAAGCGAGCCACGGCAGTCATGCTCTGACTCGCCTCTCCCCCCTCGGCCTTCCCCGCAGGCTGTCCCACGGCGTCCCTCAGGCATCACATGCACTTCGTTACGCCGTGTCACAGGTGCTACTTCCCTGCAGTCTGCGTCTCCATCCAAATGATCACATACTCCTGTATGTTATAGTAAATCTGATTACAGGTACAGACGAGTCCAGAATCATTGACACACTTCATGAAAAAATTTATATATGAAAAGAATCACACATGCAGTGAGTGATATTTTGGGCTTAGATAAATGAGCAAGCCCCATGCTTTTATTTTGATTTTAAAGTTTTTCTGTAGTAACACAAATTTTCATAATAAGGCAGATTGCAAAAAAATGGCTCCCTAGTTTTTGGTGGAGCCTCCCCTGGTGAGAATGACAGCACTCAGACTCTCCAGTGTTTAACAAGGTTGGAGAACACGTGTGCAGGGATCTTGGAGCACTCTTCCAAGCAGAACATTTCCAACTCATTGAGATTCTTGGGTTTTCTCTTGTGAACTGTCCTCTAAAATTGAGACCACAGGTTTTCAGTTGAGCTGAAGTCTGGGGACTGAGAGGGCCATGATACAACCACAGCCCAGTTTCAGCCTTCTGACAGATGCAACCAGATTTTGGGCTAAAATATTCCAGTATTGAATGGAATTCATTATGTTACTGAACTTAACAAGAGCCCTTGTAAAACTGGCGGCAAAACAGCTTCAAAGCATCAAAGAGCCACCAACATATTTTACCGTGGGTATGAAGAGGCCTGCTTTGTATGCCGTTCTCTTTGTTCGCCAAACATGATGAAGGTTTGTGTGGCCAAAAAGCTAAATTTTTGTCTAATCTGAGCATAACATATGATTCCAGGTATAACTGAAATGTTGCTTAGTAAAATTCAGATGCTGGGATTTATGTCTTGGTCCTAGGAAGGACTTTTTTGCATGGAACCCGTCCAAAAAGCTTCTGGTCATAGAGATAGTATCTCACTGTTCACTTTTTAATGGAGGAATCCCACGATTCAGTTAAACACTGCAGTTGTGAGACTGTGATCTTTGGGCTCCTATTTGCGATCTCAGGATCCTCCTCTCTGTGCGTGGGGGCAATATGCAGATGCGTCCACTTCCTAGCAAATGTTCTACAGTTTCAAGCTTTTCAAACTTCTATACTATAGCCCAGATTGTACTTACTGGTAATTTCAACTGAACGCTGTTTTTTGTAGCCATTCCCCAATGTATACCACTCAACAGCTTTCAGTAGCTTTTTTCCTCATTTGATTTGAGTGCTTTTTGGTTTTATCCATGTTGATGGATGACAGAAGGATTTTCCCTGTGTGTTGCCTTATATTTATACCCCAGTGAAACAGGAAATGGTCAAAGGCAAAAAAAAAAATTCTTAGACACCAAAAGCAATATCAAGAAAAAAGTACCCAAAGACACAAATTCCTTTGTTTTTATTTATAGTGTTTTTCAAGAGTGCCAATAATTTAGCCACATCTATTTTTGACAAAATGTTATTTCAGACATAAAACAATACCTTTGGAGGAATTGTTATTATTAAATGAGCAATTTCAGGAAATCCTAATCATTGTATGTTTTATGAAAAATTTTGCTCACTTTTTTGAAGTTAACTGTATGTTAGTTATGCCACTATCATACTATGTAACAAATACCTGTGTGGCTTGGGCATCACTTACATTCAAGCATTCTGTCTTCTTGGGAATATAAAGAATTATAGACAGTAGCTTTAAATTCCATAAATGAAATACATATAACTAGATGCACTGAACCCAATCCAAGGCTTTTAATTACACTCCAGGTGACTTGGTCATCCCCATCAGAGCCACTAAAAATCATCTGTACTTATTGCTACATCTTATGTATGAAAAGTAAATGTTTTTGGGATCCTGGTTGATTTTTTTTTTAATAATCCCAGCAATGCCCAGCAGGTGGCAGCATATTCACACATTCTGCCTGGTGCTTTCTCAGCAATTTTGTGGGGTTGTAATGTGAAGGGACACAATGAAACATTTTTGCATTACTGTTGTCAGTATCCTATGGAAAATGCACCCCATTGAATGGAACAGCACTTCTGAAGGGACATATGCTTGCTTGCTCTACTTTTATGAATACGTTGCTCCCTAGTTCCCTTATCAGTGTTGCTATTTTTACTTAACTGACCTTCTGTTACCATGTTAATTAGTTTCCCGTTGCTGTGATTTTTTTGTGGCAACCCCAAAGGAACAGCACGCGGCATCGTGGTCTGCACTGGTGACCGCACGGTCATGGGCAGGATCGCTACGCTGACCTCAGGCCTGGAGACGGGCAAGACCCCCATTGCCAAAGAGATCGAGCACTTCATCCACCTGATCACAGGTGTAGCTGTCTTCCTTGGCATCAGCTTCTTCATCTTGTCCATTGTGCTCGGCTACACCTGGCTGGAGGCCGTCATCTTCCTCATCGGGATCATCGTGGCCAACGTGCCTGAGGGACTCCTGGCCACGGTTACTGTGAGTGTCGGTGTCTTTAGCTCTTGCTTGTGCTATCTGGTTCTCTCTTCCTCTCTCTCTCTTTCTGTCTCTGCCTGTGAGCCTGTGCCATTTTTTTCAGGGTCTAAGTTGGCTTTCTTGACCACTATGTCTCTGAAAAGCACTCTTCTAACCAGCTTGTCAGTTGTTTTTTTTTCTATATAAAACAGATGGGGAAATACTCCATGTGGAGTCTGCGAAACCATGACCTGTCCTGTCCCTAACCCTTTCACAGGTGTGTCTGACCCTCACTGCTAAGAGAATGGCCAAAAAGAACTGCCTAGTGAAGAACCTGGAGGCTGTAGAGACCCTGGGATCCACCTCCACCATCTGCTCAGACAAGACTGGAACCCTGACCCAGAACCGCATGACTGTGGCCCACATGTGGTTTGACAACCAGATCCATGAGGCTGACACCACCGAGGACCAGTCTGGTAAGAGCGAGTAGAACCAAATGAAGAAAAAACTATTAGGTTATAGCACTGGAGGCAGCCGTTGGGCATCGTGGCAGTGCTGTTAATAATGTAAATAGTTCCCTGCATTTGTCATGTATTGTGGTGTTATTGTGCTGTATGTAATATCATGGGTAGTGTTCATGTTAATTGTTGTAAATGGCATGTGTGTGTTCCCACCGTGTGGTGTTGGAGTGGTCGGGATGGCCAGCACAGTGGGCAGTGTGTGTCAGTGTGCTTGTTGCTGCTTGTGTGTCTCGCTTCGTCTCATTCCTACTGCTGCGGTGCTTGGGTCTGCCAAGCACTACAGTATAAACAGGACATTTTGATCACAGTCATAGTTCAGTGAGTATTAAAAATACCTACAGCAATGTACTCTGTGGAGATTGAGTCAAGAAGCCTTGGTATGTAACTAGGGCTGCATTCTTCATTAGTTTGTAGAACCCAGCAGACAGTTTCTATAATGATCTTTCTCATGTCCTCCTTCCATGTGTTGGCCTCCAGGTGCCTCCTTCGACAAGAGCTCCATCACATGGGTGGCACTGGCGCGTGTGGCAGCTCTCTGCAACCGGGCTGTGTTCAAAGCTGGCCAGGAACCCCTGCCCATTCTGAAGCGGGATGTAGCCGGTGACGCCTCCGAGTCTGCCCTGCTCAAGTGCATCGAGCTCTCCTGTGGCTCCGTCAAGGCCATGAGGGAAAAGTACAAGAAGGTGGCTGAGATCCCCTTCAATTCCACTAATAAGTACCAGGTAAGTGAGCTGCCCACATTCACAGGCACCCGTAGGCAGACTGTCCAAGTTCACTTGCAAGAGAAACAATGAAATGTAATAGAACGATTGAACGACATATAAGCAAGCCTAGTAATCATTAGTACTAGAATAAATGTTTTTATTCTATTTGCTTACTTTAATAACTTTTTGATTCAGTGATGTTATGGAATATATGTAAAGCCTTTTCCAACTCTCATCCCTGTCCAACTAGCTCTCCGTACATGAAAATGATGACCCCAACGATAACCGCTACCTGCTGGTGATGAAGGGTGCCCCCGAACGTATCCTGGACCGGTGCTCCAACATTATGCTGCAGGGCAAGGAACAGCCCATGGACGAGGAGTTGAAGGAGGCCTTCCAGAATGCCTACCTGGAGCTGGGTGGTCTTGGTGAGAGGGTGCTAGGTGAGTGGGGCCGAGTAATACGAGGGAAGAGACCAAATCGGGGTGATCAACAGGTAATGGTTGGTCCAGTGATGATATAGCTAATCATCAAGATAACTCTGATTGGAATATTGTAAAACTTTTGTACAGAAAGAGCTTATTCTATAGCATACTTGTTTAAGCCATGGACCTGTTCAATCCTAGGAAAGACTGTATTGTTAAGGTAATTACTTAATACTATTTAATAATGATCCTACATGAAATTGTGCTTGAGTCTATTGCTATTAATATAAAATCTCGCTCAAATTCTTCAGGTCAAAGAAGACATTCATAATTAATGTAATCATTTCGTATTCAGCCTGCCTCTGTTTCTTTCTGATGCTGACTTGTAACTTTCTCCCCGATCCCCAGGTTTCTGCCACCTGCTTATGCCAGAGGACAAGTATCCCAAGGGCTTCGCTTTTGACACTGATGATGTCAACTTCCAGACAGACAACCTGTGCTTTCTCGGTCTCATGTCCATGATCGATCCACCCCGAGCTGCTGTCCCCGATGCTGTGGGCAAGTGCCGGTCTGCTGGCATCAAAGTCATCATGGTCACAGGCGACCACCCCATCACCGCCAAAGCGATTGCTAAGGGTGTGGGCATCATCTCCGAGGGTAATGAGACTGTGGAGGACATCGCTGCCAGGCTCAACATCCCCGTCAGCCAAGTCAACCCAAGGTTAGCATAGGTGTAAGGAAGACACCTTCTCAAGTTGAATGTATACCAGGTCAATATCAAGACTGGGGAATATTTAGCCTAGTACTCCATGTTTTTGAAGATCTGAGTCCATACCTGTATGTTTGTGTTAGGGATGCAAAGGCCTGTGTGATCCATGGAACAGATTTGAAGGACTTGTCCCAGGAACAAATGGATGAGGTGCTGAGAAACCACACTGAGATAGTCTTTGCCAGGACTTCCCCGCAACAGAAACTCATCATTGTAGAAGGCTGTCAGAGACAGGTGGGCCCTCTGTCTGCTCCCATATCACTCAAGTCCTCTGTTACTAGACTGTCCTTCATAAGTCTTAAATCTTATCTTTCAGGGTGCCATTGTGGCCGTGACAGGAGATGGAGTGAACGACTCTCCTGCCCTGAAGAAAGCTGACATTGGTGTGGCCATGGGAATCTCTGGCTCTGACGTCTCCAAACAAGCTGCTGACATGATCTTGTTAGATGACAACTTTGCATCCATCGTGACTGGTGTGGAGGAAGGTGAGCTAAAGAGACAGTCGGTGACATATTCAACAGGCAGACCATAAGTAGCTAGTATATGTGTCGCAAGACTCAGTAGGATCAGTGTTAGACGTTACACGGGTTCCACTATTGCAGGTCGCCTGATCTTCGACAATCTGAAGAAGTCCATCGCTTACACTTTGACCAGCAACATCCCTGAGATCACGCCTTTCCTCCTGTTCATCATTGTCAGCATTCCTCTGCCCTTGGGCACCATCACCATCTTGTGTATCGATCTGGGCACTGACATGGTGAGTGCAGTGCTCAGCTCATGGAGCGTCACAACACTTAATAACAAAGGGTACATTTTATGTATATACCATAACCTCTACAATACTTGCTACCTTTGACCACAAGTGATTTTACGAAAGCACAAGTTGAGAAAAGAGGACTTAAAACCTCATGTTCCTGGTTTAAATGGGAATTTCAGATTGGTGTGCAATAATCCCATCCTCCATGGGTTTTGAGGCTCTCCATTCTCCCATCGTTCCCAAAAATCGAGACATTTTGGTGACTCCTGTATTTCTAATTCTGACACGAATGGCCCCGTCTCACTTCCTCCAGGTGCCGGCCATCTCCCTGGCCTATGAAGCCGCTGAGAGCGACATCATGAAGAGGCAGCCCAGGAACCCCAGAATGGACAAGCTGGTGAATGAGAGGTTGATCAGCATCGCCTACGGCCAGATCGGTGTGTCAGTTTGTCTTACACCACTGCCAGCAGCCTCTACACTACGTTCATCTGTCATTTCAGCACCTGGGTACTTTGGAAGAACAGCAATTAGTGTCATAAAATAAAAAAATTATCAACATACAAACAAATGCTAAATAGGTGGAGCTGAAGGAAGTGACACCAATTTCAAATTTCTACTAATAGAAACCCTTGGTATGCAGTATTTTAGTCAGTTAACTAAAAATCATGACTATTCCTTGTCATTAGCATGAGCACGCATATACGTCAGGGAGTATTGTTACCTTGAGAGTATTCTGTCCCCTTCCCTTTGTTTATGTTTGACCTCGTTTTTGATCTCATATCTCACTCTCTGCAGGTATGATCCAGGCACTGGCAGGCTTCTTCAGCTACTTTGTCATTTTGGCGGAAAACGGCTTCCTGCCCTCGATGCTGGTGGGGATACGTCTCAAGTGGGATGACCGCTCCGTAAATGACCTGGAGGACAGCTACGGCCAGCAGTGGGTCAGTGTGATTCCTCTCCACCCTGCCATTCTCCCTCCCTCGGTGCCTTTTCTAAACGCCAGCTTCCTTGTCTGTTTCTGTTGCCTTCAGACCTATGAGCAGAGGAAGATCGTGGAGTTCACCTGTCACACTGCCTTCTTCGTCAGTATTGTAGTTGTACAGTGGGCTGATCTTATCATCTGCAAGACTAGACGCAACTCTGTGTTCCAGCAGGGTATGAAGTAAGTGCCCCGGCCTGCCCACTGTATCTCTGCCCAGAACCTTATCCTCAATATCTGGTACACCAGGATGCTTAAAGTGTGACGTTCTGTTCTCCTCACAGGAATAAAATCCTGATCTTTGGACTGTTTGAGGAGACGGCCCTGGCTGCCTTCTTGTCCTACTGCCCGGGCATGGACGTGGCACTCAGGATGTATCCATTGAAGTGAGTCACCCGAGGGAAAAAAATGGAGCTAAAAGCTAAAACCTAATGGCTGACAGTGAAGTGTTAAAAGCTAAGGGCTAATGGCTAAGAGCTAAGGGCTAAAAGCAAAAACCTAATGGCTGACAGCGAAGTGTTAAAAGCTAAGGGCTAATGGCTAAGAGCTAAGGGCTAAAAGCAAAAATGTAATAGCTGATAGTGAAGAGTGAAAAAGTAAGGGCTAATGGCTAAAAGCTAAGGGCTAGAAGCTAAAAGCTAAAACATAATGGTTTATAGTGCTGAGTTAAAAGATAAGGGCTAATAGCTAAGAGCTAAGGGCTAAAAGCTAAGAACTAAGGGTTTAGAGTATGGTTCTCACCTCCTACTGTGCGCCTATAAGGACAGATAGATTCCAGAAAGCTAGAAGACATACTACAACAGGACCCAGAAGTGGCAAAATTTAGCACACATTTTTCTCCAAAGTGACGTATGATTGAAACAAATAGCAGATTATAAACAAATAACTGGGCGTCAGTTTGCAGGAATATAACCTTTTCATAGTACAGGGAAGATGTGGGTCAATGTTCCGGTTCAGTATCCATCATGTGTTTTCTTTCTTTCTCTCCTTCCCTTTCTCATGGTCAGGCCCAGCTGGTGGTTCTGTGCATTCCCCTATAGTTTCCTCATCTTTATATATGATGAGATCCGAAAACTGCTCATACGCAGAAACCCAGGAGGTGAGTGGCTCCCAGCCCGCTTTATTTATGTATGTCACTGTGGTATCGGCTGCAGCGGCTGGGACATGATCACTCTTAATGAACCAAACAGACCTTGCTGCTTAATTAATTTAGTTAATTTTACCACTGAGTTTATGTAAGTCCTGAATCTGGATCAGTTTAGAGCACCAAACAAAACATCATTAGAAAACATCACAGACTCCCTGCTTAATTAACTCAATATTTATACTTTCTTTAATTCTTCTGGCACTTGAACATAATGGAGCTTGTTTTCACACTTATTAAGGAAATTCCATATTTAAATTCATCTTAGATTAATGATTAACTGCATGGCCATAAACATTAAATATTCATTAGTGATTGGACATAATAATTCATAGCAGGGGGTTACTGGGCACATACCCAGTATTGATTTCTTGGCATATTATTATCTAAATTATTTAAGCTACTGACTGTGTCAAACTGTGTAATGGGCATGATATAGAGCTTCTGTACTTGAGAATGAGGGTGATTGTACAGTACAACCCTGATTGTATCTTTCTCTCCTTCTTCTCGTTCTGCAGGTTGGGTGGAAAAGGAAACATACTATTGATTGATGAGATCCTTCTTAACCCCCCTGCCCCCCCACCCCAATTACATTTCTTTGTCCAGCTGCAACCCAAGTTATTCGACTCCCCTCATTGCAAGCTCCCCATTGGGAAAAAAAACAGGACACAGGCAGATGTCCCGAATACCACCCCCCCCCCCATGGCTAACCCCCGATTCCTTGCTTGAATCAGAGGAGAGAGGACCGGTGACAGAAAGAGCTGATTCCTCCTCTGTCCGTTTACGCCCAAAGACTACATCGACACACCTTCTGTAAGGACTGTTGTGGTGTTGATACACACACCTGTTCCAATCATTGTTTTTATGTCAGCACACTGCTGTGAACACCAACTGATATATCATTACAGACGGCAGCTGCGTGTCGGTCATGTTGCGAGTGAGCCGTGATGTAATTTTTTTTCCAGTGACCCCTTCTGACCCCGCCCACCTTCCTCATCATGTCCAATCCTCTGCCTCTCTCTCTTGTTCCTGACCCGCCCCCATCGACATGCCAACCACCAGTCACAGGATTGGCCCTTCTCTGACACCTGTCCACCTGCTAGCCCTCCTCCACTGTAGGGGGAGCTGAATTAGGCTCCTCCCATCTCATATCTCTGCCATTTCACCCCTCCTGATTCAGCCATAGTGAGGTTGTTTTTTTTAACAGAGAGCTGAATGATTTTAATATGTATTATCTTAATGGGGAGGGGTGTTTGAGAGCGGCTTTCTTCATATAGACATTGACAAAGCACACCCCCCCCTTGCTCTCCTTCTCTCTTTCCCTCCTCACCCCCCCTCCATCCCTGTCTGTTTTGTGTGCACTGTGTGAACCATTGTCCTCGTTAACTTCTTCCTCCCCCTGTTGAAAATAAAATCAATCTTTCTGTGTGTTCTAGGAAATGAAAAACTTCTCTAATTTAAAGGTAAAAAGACAAGTGACAACATTAAGAAACAAAAAATTCATAAAAATAAAAAAGGATCTTTCTTTGGTCTATTTGGTTGCAATATATTTTTTGCTGGGTATCAGAGAGCCACCACAAAGAATGCTAAAAAAGAAATGAATAAATAAACCTATAATATTGTTACTATTACTACTGCTGATATTGGTGATGACAGCGATGACGACGATGACAGTGATCCAATCCAGACCACTGAAGCCAGGGCCGCACCGTTAATGCCGTGTGTATCTGAGTGAGACATGGAAGGTATGGATGACAACAGCATAAAGATGCCAGAAGTAAATGAAATCAACACCAATAAAACATTTAGAACATTTAATACAACCTATCACTGTGTGTGTGTTTAATGGCCCTCCTTTCTGAGCGTAGCCTGCATCAGGGAGCCCAGCACAGCCACAGGGCCCTCGGTCACACACCCCCGCCACCTTTTTGCACTACAGTAAGTCCATTTTAAGGTGCCCCACATGTGGCACGCACACACACACACAAACACACACACATCTCAAGCTCCCTTTCAAGAAAAAGAACAACTCAGCATTAAGCTGATCTGCATTAAGCATGGTCACAGCATTTCTGTAACCCCAAATGCAAGTGCTAAACGCAAGCAGGTTCTGAGAGACTGATGACTACAATTCCCAGACTGCCAGCGGACTAAGTTCTAAAAAAAACCCCAACAAACTAACATAGGAGATGGTAAGATAAATGATCATATGTATCAATGCAGTTTAACAGTAAAACAGGATACTTCTTGCTCATACTTTGGAAATGCCCTATTAGTAATAAAACCAACCCAAAACTGACCACTGCTCGGTAGTTACTGAGCATAAACCTTATGTTAGACTTCAGTAGCAGACGGCGTGCTCTTGTTCGGTTTAGTTACAATATCCGCAGTGCACCCCCCTGGAGGGCCATCGCTCATTGCTCACACCTCACACCTGACCCAGTCACGTCGTAAAAAGCTTACAGACGACATGGATAGATGCCAATACTGTGGCCCCCAAGTTCTCATTACTGGACACACATATATAAAATACAAAAGAAAAAAGAGACCATCTATACCATCACTTACATATGACGGCGAGGAACAATTACTCTGACACAGCACACCCCGCCTACCCTCTCTGCTACTCATTAGCTCAGCCACAAGGTTCCCCGGCATCTCCCTGCAATGCACCCATCTCTCTCATTCCATTACCCCTGAACAACAGAATATCGATCGCTCGCCACGGAGCGCGCAATGCGCGTGTGTGAGTGCCTATCCTCCAAGGTTGTCTCCTAGGCAACAGAAAAAGGGGATGAATTGGCCGTTGTCATGGCACTGAGGTCAACGGGGTCAGGACTAATGACAGAGATGCTTCTTTGAGCATGTGAAGAAAGGGACGAGGGGATCAGGAAGTCAGAAATAGGAGACACTGAAGGGGAACGTAGAGGGAATTAAAAATACATAGTCTTGCAAGGTGACAATCGTACACATATACACACATCTCACTACAAAGAAATGCTGCATTCAGGCAAAATTTTATTGCACTTCCGAACTGTAAATAAAAATACAAAGCAATAAACATAGCAACAGCCCACAGATATAAGGTGACATTAACAAAATCCACCTGTACATTACTAAATGCTATGCCAAATATATGAATCGGGTGATTAATAGATTAGACAATCGATACATGAAACGTACATGTTTAATAGCTCAGATACTATCAATGTCTAAGGACAGATTACAAAGCTTAATAATGGGTTTAACTTCCTACTAGTAGAAAGTAGAAGCCAGCGAATATCACTTGACATGCTTCTGTTTACTGCCATCTTTTGTTCTTAATAAGACTATAAAGATGATCTTTCTGGACTTGGCAATCGCACACATCCCTCGTCTTTCATTTCCTCAGTGGGTGCTTTATTTTCATTTCAGCCTTATTTAATCAGATAAATATGCCCACTTCGGAATTCTTATGTTTTATTTGTAATTTAACATTTCTTTTTGTTCCTTAAAAGTACATTGTATTCCAATGATGAAAATATTTACTTCAGTTAAATAAAGCTAAATACTAATTACAGGTAGAGTAAAATTGACAAACTGACATTGTCACTTTCAATTGCACAACACCTATAACACTTCGTATAGGACCTGTAGCTAATATGTGTTAGGAGAAACACATCGATCACTTCATATCGGTCAGAACAATATGGGGTTTGAAGGAAAGCCAGCATACAGTGGGAGGCCCGAGTGCGTTCAGAGACTGCCAGTGGAGGGCGACATTCGCACATTAGAAAAGTTCCAACATGATGCCATTTTGTCTCAAAAGCATTTTCACTCCACTTGGTCACGTTTCACATGCAGGCCAAAACACGAGTATTTTGTCCGTCATAATGAAGTGGTTACGTATAATACAACTTTTAAAAATGACATTTTCTCAGATTATGAGATAAAGCACAGATTTACACAAGGTATATATATTTATATCCCACAAAACACTCAACTTGGTTCACTTAAATCATTCTTTTCATAGGGACATAAGCATCAGTCTCAAAGCCTATAATTGCTGAAGTCCTCATTATAAAGACTCTTTAAGAGAAAGTCACACTGACAATAAAAAGACATATCTGGGATATGAAAAGATATAGGTAACATGTCAGAGGTTAAACTGGTTCCATGATGAGCTCCTCCATGTCAGCTCCGTCCAGCTCACGAAAAGCTGCATGCGACCCAATCACAGCAAGCGTTGCCCCTGTGTGACAGAAGAATGTGAGCACAGTGCCCCCTACAGGATAGGAGCGCAGATACAACTGCTTGCTCAAACAGTCCAGACAGGATATTGAGAGCCACAATGTCCTAACACAAAGTGAACAAAGAATAATAAAGTTTTACCTACAAATTGCATTATAGTATTTGAAGGAAATGTCAGTACAAGAATTTTGGTAAGTACTGGTTTCTGCTCAAAGCTCTCAAAGACAAAGTAATCAGTCACATAAGTATAAAAATACAGTAAAATTTGAAAATTACCCTAAAAAGACAATTTTGGCAAACGCAAAATACATCTATAAAATCCCATATCAAAAGAAAAACTGGAGCAAAATGAAAATCATGATCAAACTTACCCAACACCCAGAAGACTGCAGTGCCAGCTCCGGCCAGCCAGAACACGGGGAAGCTGACGGCTCCTGCCAGGCTCAACTGGTGAGCTCCAGTTATTTCCCGTCCTGAGAAAAGGGTTCACACTGAATAGAGCCCCAAGCTCAGGAAGCCCAAGGCTGGGGCAACCAGTCTGTTTTCACAGCAGAATCACATTTTAGTTACATTATGGTAAATGGTAAATGGATCCATACACACATTCACACACCGGTGGTGGAGGCTACCATGCAAGGCACCAACCAGCTCACCGGGAGCAATTCGGGGTTCAGTGTCTTGTTCAAGGACACTTCAATGGGGTCAGAAGGACCCGGGGCTCGAACCTGCAACCCTTCGGTTGCCGAACGGTAGCACTACCTCCTGCACCACCATCGCCCTACATTATCAAGTTCCACAGACTGATTTTCAAACAGTTAGAATTAGGAGATCATTTAGAATTGAAGAAATTCATTAGATGTGAATTTCCTCTGTATTTGTTTACATTTTATGTTATAACTTTTTCCATCATGTTTGGTTTGTGTCTCTTTTTTGTTAATCCTTTTTTTGTTACACTTGTTTGTATAGTTGAATTTTGCAATTGTGTACATTTTTGTTCTCTGTACATTTTTTAAGACAAAAATTAAGAAAAGGAAAATGTTTCTTTTTCGGCAAATATGCATGTCACGCTGTGTAACATGCTATTTAGCTGCATACTAGTCAGCAACAGGAAAATCACCACTGGACGCAGTTCTTCCATATCTGCCATTTTAGAATACTGCTTACTTCGTTGTAGGGTCACCAGGTGACCAATCAGACAATAAGAGGGTCAAATCAGGAGCGGGCTACGAGATGAGTAAGGACCATTAGGGCGCTTTTAGAGTCTACCTCAGTTGTCGCCAACTTAGGTCCTGGAGAACTACTGTACAATAGGGTTTTTATCCTACCTGGCTTCTGATGAGCCACACCTGTTCTCAGGTAAATACCAGGAGCAGGTGTGGCTCATCAGATGCCAGGCAGAATAGAAAACCTACTGGATAGTCCCTCACCAGGATCTAAGTTGGAGACCCTAGGTCTTCATTTTCAAAAGTATATGTTTTGACACTCATTCACACTGCAACCCTAAAATGGAGTTTTCAGAAGTATACAGCTGGGAGGGCGTTTACAAAAGTCTTCGTTTTTGGGGGTTGAAGTGTGGATGAAAGGCAGTAACAGATACTAATGTCTGCATTTTTAAATGAAAACGTAGCAGGGTGGATGTAGCTTTAGCCTAGTGAAATCAGTTCCCTCAAAACCTTGAGAATTCACACTGCCGTTTGAAATGTCCTGCCTCCTCGCTGAATTTCATTACCCAATCAGAAGCTGACAACCTCGCCAAATGGGCAGGTGTACCGTCTCCAGCACCATGGAAACCAGAAATACCCATGTGCCAACATTAATACCCATCAACCACACTTATTCTTACGAGACTTCAGCTTGAAAAGTAGCCGAGTGGTGAGAGAGACTCTACTCAGCTCCATGAATTCACGTCTTGCAGTTTCACCCAGAAAGGCACACTGTCCGATGTGGTTTTTGGAAGAATGCGGCAAGAGCCTCCACTCACCGAACACAACCAACTTGGATTCAAGTGACTTAAGGTGGATGATGTAGAAGGCACCGAGAAACACAGCCAGGGCGATGAGAAGCATGGGAGAGCTGATTCTGAAAGAGGGAGAGAAACCGACTTACCAACACACAACAAACGGCTGGCAAACAGTGAGGCAAGGAATGAATGTTTTCAGTTTACTCACTTCATTAAAGGCATATTCTCTAATTCATAATTGAAAATGCCATATACTTCAGATCCAACAGAACAGTCACAAATAAAATGGATCCTCATGGCACACTTGTTTTCCTGATGCCACATAGGTTTTCATCCATACTACTAGGTATATGGTAACGTACAATTAAATGTTAGACACTGACCATAATCTGACACCATCTGGGTATAATCAATTCCATGGAAAAAAGAATGTTGGCCTAGATGAATCTGGTTGTCTTTCTTTTTTATATTTACAATTTCACAGACGGTTTTGTCCAAAGCGAGATAGAACTGAGAACACAGGGTCAGCCAGTGCCTTGGACACCTAGGACTAAGGGCCCTGCTCATGACCCCGATGAAATCACTCTGCCGACTTTGAGATTTGAAGCAGTGACTTTCCGATTACAGGCGACCTAAAACCCTGAGCCCCAATCTTTAAATAGAACCAAAAACAAGTTTGTTCAAGTATTTGAATGTGCAACAACTCCACCAAATGATAAAGCAATAATTCAATTGTAGTTATAATAATTAGTCAATCAGACATAGATTTGTACAAACAAGAACAGGGTATTAATAATGACATCAAAACACAGAGATTACTTAGAAATTTATCCTTAAGCCTGCCAAACATTCCTAGTGGATTTAAAGCATCAAATTAAAGCTAAAACACAACTGGATAATTAAGGTTTCTAAGAATTCTTCCATCCATCTCCCAGGCTGCTGTAAAAGCACACAGTAAATTTTAATGGAAACTAATTAGTTCATGGGTACTGCGAGTTTTAAAGCTGAAATACTGGAAAAGCAGGTTGTTGATCCACTGGTGCTCCTGTCTAAGGGTGCAGCAGATGAGAAAAATGAAAGCAGTGCAGGCACAGAGCCAGTACACAGTAACACCAGCAAATGGACCTCATAGGTGTCAAGTCTCACATTTCACCCATGAGACTCATGGGATCTTGCCTTTCCATCTCATGGATTCCACCTCATGGTTGTGATGCACTTAAACCAAACAATTTTTTTTTTTTACTTCAACATCAGTAAGGACCTGCTGCAAAGGCTTACACCTAGAGGACCATTTATAACATCACATTCCATATCCATAGGCATCAATATGGATTTGGTTCCCTGTTTGCAGCTATAACAGCTGCCACTCTTCTGGGAAGGTTTTCCACAAGATTTTGGTGTGTGTCTGTGGGAATTTTTGCCCATTCATCCATTTAAAGGTCAGGCACTGATGCTGGACATGAAGGCCTGGCTCACAATCTCCATTCTAGTTTATCCCAAAGTTGGTCAATGAGGTTAAGGTCAGGGCTCTGTGTGGGTCAGTCAAGTTCTTCCACACCAAACTCACCCATCCATGTCTTTATGGACCTTGTTTTGTGCACTGGGGCACAGTTATGCTGGAACAGGAAAGGGCCTTCCCCAAACTGTTACCACAAAGTCAGAATTGTCCAAAATGTCTTGGCATGCTAAAGCATTAAGAGTTCCTTTACTGGAACTAAGGGGCCTAGCCCAACCCCTGAAAAACAACCCCATACCATTATCCCTCCTCCAGCAAACTTTACAATATGCACAATGCAGTTGGACAGGTAACGTTCTACTGGCATCTGCCAAACCCAGACTCATCCCAGACAGAAAAGTGTGATTCATTACTTCACAGAACAAGTTTCCACTGCTCCAGAGTAATGTGGCAGCGTGATGTGAGGTTTGCATGCTTCTCAGCCATGGAAGCCCATTCCATGAAGCTCCCGGCACACAGTTTTTGTGCTGGGGTTAATGCCAGAGGAAATCTGGAACTCTGCAGTTACTGAGTCAACAGAACGTTACCAGCTTTTACACAGTATGTGCCTTAGCACTCGGTGACCCCTCTCTGTTATTTTACATGGTTTTCCACTTCGTGGCTGAGTTTGTATTGTTCCTAAATGCTTCCACTTTGCAATAACACCACTTCAGTTGACCACAGAATATCTAACAGGGAAGAAATTTCATGACCTAACTCATTGCATAAGTAGCATCCTATGATGATATCATCTGATATGATTGTACCACACTTAACTCTTCAGAACGAGTCATTCCTTCATAAAAATTTGTAAACCTGACTGCATGACTAGGTGCTTGATTTAATACACCTGTGGCAATGGTTCTGAATGAAACACCTGAATTCAATGATTAAGAGGTGTGTCCCAATACTTTTGTCTATATAGTGTATATGCCATCTTCCTTAGCCTCCTTCTATTCATTTCTGGGTTATAAACAAATACAATAAAGGAGTTTTGCAACACTAGTGTCAGTGATGTCCCAGCCATTTTTAGCAAGTCAATGAGTTTTGAATTTTTGAGTTTTGTATTTGTCAAAGTTTTCAAATCAGTGTAGACTTCAGTATGATTGTATCATGAAATCAAAACTGGGCTAAAGTTACACATTTTGTAAGGTGTGTCAGCAAGACATCAGGGTCACTGCATCGGGGAGTTATAGACATTATTAGTTAGATTGTTGTTTTTTTGCCGGTGCGTTTAATTGCAAGCATTACTTTGTAATAAAAATAATAAGAAAATCAAAAGATATGAGCCAAATGAGTTTTTTGGCTCACAGTTTACACAAGTTTCCCTTCACCCAACTCCCTGCTGTCACTTCAGTTAAGTTGACATGTATGTAATTTAGACGTGGGGTGCTTACATGCAGTAGAGGATGAGGCCCAGGAAAATGAAAATGTAGTTGCTATGGTAGGTGTCAAGGTTTCGCACCACTCGCTGGCACAGCTCCCCGAAGTTGCGTGGCTTGGAGAACTTCCGCTGGTCAACGAAGGACACCCAGGGTCTCATGGCAAGGCGCCGCCGCTCGAACCACTCCTTGGCGACGCCACCGGAGATGCCTCTGGTGAACCATAGCCTGCTCCACACGGACAAACCCTTAGCAACACCATCTCAAAGGCAAAACGTGCAGAAACCGTGCTGGCATTACACTGTGCGAAACTGTACCCAAAATATAAAAATCTGACATCATTTATTTAGATCACTAACTTCCCGATCAGTCCCGCCGCAGACGGCTCTCCAGGCTCCATGCTGAAGGGATCCCCTGTCTTCGTGTCCATCTCCACCAGCAACTCTCCGTCTCCGTTTCCACTGGATGGAATAACGCAAAGAATGCGTTACTGCAAATCACAGTACACAAATAAGTTTCACTGTAGCGTTTTGGAGCAATTAACTTGTACAACTAATATTATGGGTTCTCAGCGCTATAGTAAAGCCTTGATCACATAGCGTAACCGTTTCATTTTTTTTAGATGCTACTATTACAAACAGGTGTGGGGAAAACAAACACAACCAGCTGTTTATGCCGGAAATAACATAAAACAGAAACGGTTACAGATTAAAAAGAAAAACTACCCGACTTAACTTACTCGGCTGTTTTATTTTATTTGCAACCGAAACTATTGATTTGGGGTGAGATAAATCGTGAAAATATCCTGGATGACCATCAACAAAAAATATTAGGACATTAACGCCTTTCGCTTGCCCCTCTTTCTAAGTATTTTAACAGCTTTTTAAATTTGGAAAATCCACTCAGTCGCGTACAGTATAAACATACCTCAATAAAACAAATCTCTAATTTAAATAATGTAAAAATATATCCTATGGCAAACAAGCTTATTTCAACGAATACTTACACTTCTACCCAACGCCGAAAATGTCCGGTATTTTGGCGGATGTATGATGTGGAAGAGATGAGAGTGGAGCGGAAGTTTAGAAGAATACCGTATATTCACGAATAGAGCATCCTTCCTAAAGAAGCTCCCGCACTGGCACACCGTCTAAGGCAGGGGTGCCCAATCTTATCCGCAAAGGGCCGGTGAGTATGCGGGTTTTTGGGATAACCTGTAGGGCAGCTGTTCAAACCCAGGTGTGAGGACTCTTCAGCCAATCAGTCCTCTAATTAGTCATCTAATTAGGGAGTTGCAGCGAAAACCCGCATATACACTGGCCCTTTGCGGATAAGATTGGGCACCCCTGGTCTAAGGGTATGTTACCCTGTGCTTGCTGGGATAGGATTTACTGTATATTGCACTGCAGTTTTATGCATAATGAATGGATGAACCTATAAGAAACAACCCATCGTATTCCTTCATTTTAAATATTTGTTAAGCATTTTGTTTTCAAGTTTCATTGTCATGTGTGTTGTGAGAAAATTCTTATGCCACAGTGGCAGGGCTGGGGACATGTGCATAGGACGAACATCAATGCAATACAGGACAAACAGCAGTGCAATGACAGACAAGACAAAAGACATGCTAATATAAGAAGTGACAATAAATATGCAACACATAGGTGGTACAACGGAGAAGGATACACAAATCAGCACAGTGGAAGTACAGTGCTGATAAAGTGGAGCACTTTCCCAAGGGCTGGAGAGTGAAGAGAGCGTGAGCTAGGTGACTGGTGTCCCTAATGATAAACTCAGCCCTCATCTGGCATCAGGAGAGGAAGGTGGATTGCAGGTGGGAAAGATCTGTGCTGATAATCTTTGAAGCTGTTTGGACAGTCCTTTGCAGCAGTTTAAGGTCCTGATCCATTTCTTTTAGAATATAACATGCTTTAGAATTTTGTCATAATATCGAACAGCACTATTATTTGTGTAACTATCATACCATCCACCTTCTAACTGTCTATCCTGTATAAAGGTGCCAAGGGGCAGGAGCCTGTCCAGGCACCTTAGGACAGGGTTACACACTGGATGCAGTGTAGGTCCATTCTACGGTGCACACATATGCATACAATAGCAAATACTATGGGAATTTAGTGAAGCCAATTCTTCTCACTTTAAATCATTATGTACAGGGAATGGACAATGAAACTGAAACGTTTGGCTTTAGACCACAACAATTTATTAGTGTGGTGTAGGGTCTTCTTTTGTGGCCAATACCCCATCAATTCATCTTCGGAATGACAGATACAAGTCCTGCACAGTGACAAGAGGGATTGTGAGCCATACCTCTTGCAGAAGAGTGGCCAGGTCACTATGCAATCCTGATGGAAGAAAACATTTCCTAACTCGCTCCTCCAAAACACCCCAAAGTGGCTCCATAATATTCACATCTGGTGATTGTGCAGGGCATGGGAGATGTTCAACTCCACTTTTATGCTCATCAAACCACTCTGTCACCGGTCTTGCTCTGTGTATTAGTGCATAATCATCCTGATACATGGCACCACCTTCAGGGTACAATGTTTAAATCAGTGGCTGAACATGGTTCTCCTAAATGGTTTGCTAGTCCTTGGCAGTGACACGCTCATCTAGAACAAGTTGTGGCCTAGGGAATGCCATGATATTGCAGCCCAAACCATAACTCATCCATGCCCCTGCTACACTCTGGGTACACAATGGTCCGGGTGGTAAGCCTCTTTGGGGCTTCTTCACACTGTAACTCTCCTGGATGTGGGAAAGACGGTGAAGGTGGACTATCAGAGAACAATACACGTTTTACTTTGTCTACAGCCCAAGATGTGTGTTGCTGGCACCAATGAAACTGACGTTTGGCATGGGCACGAGTGACCAAAGGTTTGGTTTAGCAGTCTGACCATGAATATTGACCCTGTTGAGCTCCAGATGAACAGTTTTGCCAGAAACAGGAGAGCCGAGGTGTGCATTTAATTCTGCAGTGAGTTGGGCAGCTTTGGTTTTATGTTTTTTGGATACAATCCGGGTTAAGACCTGGACATCCCTTTCAGACAGCTTCCTCTTGCGTTCACAGTTACTGCTGTTGGATGTGGTCTGTCCTTCATGGTGGTATGCAGACATTTTCCTGAATACTCAATACACAACAAAAGCTTGCTGTCCTGGTCACAGGTGCACCAGCAGGATGCATACCAACAATTTGTCCTCTTTTGACCTCTGATATGTCTCCCATTATGTTGTGTGGATTGTAATAATCTATGTACAGCCGTGCTACTGCTCTGCTAATTCAGCCTTCACACTCTGCTCTTACTGATGGAATGTGAAATCCGTGAAGATTAGCCACCAGGCCGCGCATGTATGCAGTCAACTGCAGAAATATTGGCACCCCTCATGAAAGTGAGCAAAAACATGAATGTAATATAGATAATACATATAATGATTCAAATTTTCTTTAAATGTTTGGAGAAATTGCTAACTATTCATCCTTCCATCCATCCAACCATCCATCCATTTTCCATCGCTTATCTGGGGTCAGGTTGCGGGGGCAGCAGTCTAAGCAGGGATGCCCAGACCTCCCTCTCACCAGCCACCTCCCCCAGGGGAATACCAAGGCGTTTCCAGGCTAGCCGAGAGATATAGTCTCTCCAGCGTGTCCTGGGTCTGCCCCAGGGTCTCCTCCCAGCTGGACAAACCCGAAACACCTCCCCAGGGAGCCGTCCAGGAGGCATTCTAGATAGATGCCCAAAACTACTACATTTGGCTCCTTTTGATCCGGAGGAGCAGCGGCTCCACTGTGAGTCCCTCCCAAATGTCCGAGCTGCTCATCCTATCTCTAAAAATTATTCCTGCAAAAGTGTTGTTTTATCTTCGGAATAGTTTATTCTGTCAAAAAACTTATGTGGTGAAATTATTGGCACCCTTGAAGAAAACTATAAGTAAAGCCAAAGGAAATTGCATCTTTAGGGGAAAAAATGTTTCTTGATATTATGTTTATTGTCTAGTAACTTTTTTGTTGTCTATGACCATTTCCTCTTTCACTTGCTTATGAACATGAGGTAACATACAGCTAAAATCTTTTTGCCATCCATCAACATGAGTAAAGTCAAGGAACACTCAACCCAAATAAGGAAAAAAGTCAGTTGACATTACCATTAAGTACAATTAGAGCCATAGTAAAGACGTCTGAAAAGCATGGAGCTGTTGAAAATTTGCGAGGAAGGGGATGCATCTGTATATTACCCCAAAGTACAATGAGGAGGATCCTAGGAGGCAAAGAATAGCCCAAAGATCAGTTTCA